TAGAGATTGGTTGAAGACAACGTTGACTTACTAGTGGAGGGATCGTAGAGATTGGTTGAAGACAACGTTGACTTACCAGGGGAGGGAGCGTAGAGATTGGTTGAAGACAATGTTGTCTTATGACAAAATTTCCTACCAGGGGATGGAGCGTAGAGATTGGTTGAAGACAATGTTGTCTTATGACAAAATTTTCCTACCAGGGGATGGAGCGTAGACATTGGTTGAAGACAAATTTGTCTTACCAGGGGAGGGAGCATAGAGAGTGGCTGAAGACAAATTTGTCTTACCAGGTAAGGTAGAGTAAAGTTTGGTTGACTAGCTTTGCTAACAAAATCATTTAACAGTTCACAAGTTCGTCATAGTTCTTACCATTTGAAACTCCATTAGCTGGACTTGTCTTTGCTTCGCTTTTTCAAGTTCAACTGACGAAAAAGCCTGTCAAAACAAAACAGATATCCATTTAGATAACTTGTATGTGTGCTTTACATCCAGAACATGTATTTTTACCTTCTCGTTTTCTAATTTTTAGAAACAAACAAATGAAATGGCTTTTGTTTTTAGTAACATTGCACAGGCTGAGAAAAGACTCAAAGTCCACACGAACTCAGCCTGAGACAAGATACATGTACATTAAAACTACATTTAGACAAAAATACATTAAAATATAAAATGAAAGTAAAGCTAAAACAAAGTAAAGCTTAAAAAGCAACAAGTAAAGCTTAAAAAGCAACAAGGAAAGATAGAAAACATAACTTTTGAAAACCCTTTATGGTTGAAGATAGAAAAAGGCAATAAATCTTATAATTTGGATCAGCAAAACAAATTTTGTTCGTAGTTACTATGGTTACCCTGGTTGCTATCGTTACCTCTCTCAAGGCTTGCTGTGCAAGCACAGAATCCATGTCCAGCACAGATGAAAGCCTTGAGTAATGCGAAATAAAATCGGATTGGTAGGTGCACATATGAACTGAAAGTGAAAAAATGGGAAATAAGAAATGAAAAATATGGATTAGAGGGAATAGTGGGAAATAAAATAGTGAAAAAAAAAAGTTTATAGTAAGGTGCATGGTAACCACCACATAAATCGATAAAATCGGGTCCCTATTTTGGACCACTGTTATGACCTTACCCCTTTAAAGTAACTTACTCATTTCAAATGTCTGTACAGGAAGAGATATGTATTTCTTCCTGTGTGTCAATGTATCCACTTGACCTGGTGCACTACACACATCTTCAGGTGGAGGAAACACGATTAAGAATGACACATTCTCGTCCAGTTCGACGACCTCACGATCATAAATACGATGAAGTTTGCCAGCCTGGCACAAAAATCGAATAAAAAAGAGAGAGATTAGATATATAATAAGAAGATTACAACCTTTTTCGTAATAGACCTTATTCGTGGTGTGACAATGTTTTCCCAATTCAGCGTGACAAACCTCCAGAGGATTAATTTTCTTTTGGCTTTACTCTTCAAAAAATTCATGAGTATCCCAAAGGATACAAAAGGAATAACGATGATATCCCGACGAGTTGCAAAACAATAGCTGTTCATTCCCCTAGAGGTTTGTCACGTTCAATTGGGAAAACATTGTAACACCACGAATAAGGTCTATAACACGATCAACACAGTGGACTTCCGTAAATCAAAAAATATTTACTCAGACTGTTGGAAATTTGATTGACGTAAGCCAAAATTCCAGACGACTCGAATTATAACTAATTGTCTGGGTCGCATAATTATAAAAATAAATATAAACAGGATAAAGGTTGATGGGATGGGATGGGATGGGATGGGATGGGATGGGATGGGATGGATGGATCAAAAAATAAAAGACAAGCTTGCCAAAACACATCATACATACATCTTTACTGACACCAACTTCTTCCATAAGAACTTCTGCCGCTCGAGCAACAAGTAGTTGGAAATCGTGGGCAGTTTTGCTGGGCTCGCACGTTCGTTCCTAAAAAAATGAAGAAACTATATAACTAGAGGTATTTGCAGAGGAAGCTAGAAAAAGACAGAGACAACCTCCTTGATTAAACAATACCTATTTTGAAAGGAAATTTTTCATAACTTTAAAATTTTTCAAGTCTTATTCTCACCCCTAAAGTATCCATACTTTGTAACCATTGCCATTCCTCTCTGGGAAAAAAAGCATTAATGTAAGACTTACATAGCGCACATATCTATAAGAGAGGAAACGGAAGCTTCTAAAAATGCTGACGTCATTCACACCGACRCCGACTGTTTTACGCATACACAGATGACGATATTGAAGCTTTTCCGATCGAATCTTGTATGCAGAGCCTGCGTTTCTTCTGGCCTGCGGCAAAGAACGAGGGCTCTAGTATAATCCATTTTTTTGCTACCAGGATTTCTTGGACTTCCTGTATAAGAGCCCATGCGTTCAAAGATTTGCTAAAAATAAAAAAAATATGTTCCCGATTTGTAATTTTCATTTTGATCGGAAGTAAACACAGAACTCTGCTTTTTATTGATTATACTTCACTTAAGGAAAATTGCGCATGCGCCAAATAATGGAGCCCTCGTTCTTCCCCGCAGGCTAGAAGAAACGCCGGCAACAAGAAACGCAAGCTCTCGGTACGAGTTTGTTCTGATCGCATCGGCGTTCGTGATCGTCGTAGTGTGTAGGTACGCTATGAAAACGTTAGTGTGAACGTGAAGCTTTTGATTCCTTTTTTGGTGAGATAAAAACGGAAAAAAGTTGCACTAGTGTGGATGTAGCTAAGTACTGAATGCAAAAGCTTCATTATTTTATGTGGAAAAAACTCTTTATATACTTCTAATCCATTGAAAATGAAATTCTTAGATCGCAGACCACACTAACTTTCAATCCTAATCTAAATGGCGTCGAGTGCTTTACCTCGATACGTTTGGATTATCGCGAATCTTCACATGAGGAAGGACATTCGGACAATTCTCATCCACTACAACGTGAATTGCATCTACGAATGTCCGTAGCTTGAGATAACCAATATACATTCCCCTGAAAAACGAAAAGTTCAAATCAATGGGGTTTGACTTTATTTGAAGACATGCAACACGGTGCACATATTTGGCAACGAGGAAACGGGTAACCAAAAAAGGCGGGAAACTTTTAACGCGCGTGCGTCAGGTGAGAGATGGTAATAATGACGTAAAGCTTGAAGGAATCGATCAGAGTAATCATAAGTAAAATGAATCGAAATGTTACCTTTCTAATGGTTTTCTGCTCTGCTGAAAATAACTAACTTTTTCCTGTAAAAAAAAAAAAAAAAAAAAAAAAAAATTAAACGATTAATCAATTTTCGCTTCTTTCCAATAATATTGGGATGTTTTTGACATTTAAATAAGTAGCGGCTGTTCTTCATAACAGAATACCACTATTTCATCACTGAAATTGTAAATTTGATTTCTTGTTCATTAAAAATCTACAGTTCAACCTCTCTATCCGGGCACCGAAGGGCCAGAGAAAAGCGTCTGTAATATAAAGGTGTCCATAGAAAAGAAGTTATTTTTACAAAGAATGTAAGGTGATTTTGCCGGGACCCAAAGGACTGTCCGTACGGCCCGGTTCATACGTCGAACTTTTCATGCGCCGAACCAAATACTAAGAATTAAGATCATGAAAAGTACGACGTCTGAACCAATTAAGTTCGACCATAACATTGAGATCGAACCAATCGCTAAGATCGACTGAAGCGGTCGGGAATTACGACTTCGGAGCTACTCTGATTCAAACGACGAACTTTTCATGGACCGAACCTAATGCATATATTATATCTAATCGCAAAAGGGGGGGGGGGAGGGGCAAGCAGGTTTATCATGAGCTGTGCATGCGCATAAACATCAACATGGCTTCCTGTGTTATATGAGAGGCTCGGCAGCTGGTTCCGGATCCCGGGAAAGCACAATGGCGTCCTATGATATGTGTTATTCGTGTTTCGCAACCACGAAATACGTTTTGAAAGCGATGAAGAACAGCCTGGTTGGGTTGCAGGAAGAAGTATAGGATGGCCGAGCGGGGGACTGCGGCACTGCGGAAGAGTCTGATTTCTATATTACTGTATGTTAACCGCTGCCCTAAATGCTTGACTTGGAAAAATCTTGGATTGACTGAATTTGGTACGACGTCTGAATCAAAAGTAGATATTTGACGATCTTTGGTCTATCTTCAACGTGTTAGGTTTGGTTCATGAAAAGTTCGACGTATGAACCGGGCCTAATATAGAGGTGTTCGTAAGGAGAGGTTTAACTGTATTCCTATATTTCTGTAAGAATAGGTAAAATATAAAATGAAGAGTAAAATAACTGTTTGAAGGTTTCGTTTTAGGGTCAAAAAAGACCTTTTCAAAAGAATTTCTTTGTTTTTACGGTGTATTTAAAGATGCATAAAGATTTTTCGTTCGTGTACCTTGATTGCAGTGATAAGCATATCAGATGCATAACAAAGATCCGCAGGTAGATTTGAATGGAAAGGCATTTTCTTCTGCAACTTGTTCAATGCCATCCACTTTAAGGCCATTATTCGAGGACGGAACATACTGGCATGCTACAGACAACAACAGCACGGTGTTAAGACAACTATTATCGTTATTTATTTATCTCTTAATTATCATTTTGTGTCAATACAACTTAGCTGGGGCAAAAATTATAAAATTTATGATTTAAGATCGATCATCACGAGCAGTCTACAACTGAACTAATTTGATAGAACTACTTGACCCCAGAAGTATCTTCAAGGAAATTACACGTGGTCTGATGTGGGTGAGAGCGCTCGCCTCTCAACAAAGCGACCCGAGTTCGAGTCCCGCCGGGTTCGGTGTCGTACATGAGTAGAGCTGTTTGTTGGTTCTCTCCTGTGCTTCGAGGGTTTTCCGGGTTCTCCGGTTTTCCTCCCTCCGCAAAAATCAACTCCTAAATTCCAATTTGATCACGGAATGAGGGCCACAGGTTTGTTAGCCACTGGCTATTTACTGCTACCCTCGTGCAAAAAAAAAAAAAAAAAGGACGGGTAATGGGCTCTAATCATGTAATTCAATGTGCTTACGTTGAGATAGTTGACAGTAACAATAACCGTGCTGCCGTTTCGATCTTTCACAGGTTTGTAGTGTAGCTGTCCAAGATGTTGTTTCCCAAGGGCTGACTGCAAAGAAAAAAATTAAAGACAAAACATTTTTAACATTAAAACTTAGAATTTTTCTTCTTGGCCGGGGATGGGGGACAGGGTGGGGGAGATTAGACTTCTTTACCTTGGGCGTAATGTTTCCCATTTCAGACCATGTCTCATTCCCTTGAGAATAAGATTATTTGTTTAAATCATATTCATATTCATGTGTCTTCTCATGCACAACCATTAAAAAAGAAAATAATACTCTAGGGAATGATATTGGTCTGAAATGGGCAAAACATTACTCTCGAGGTAAAGGTATATTGCTATCATGTTATTGAGAGGGAGAAATGACATACTGTGAAGTAACGACAGGTACGAAAAAAATTAACTGAGGGAGGGGAGAGTTACCTGGAATGCATCAACTGCGTTCAGTAATTTACAACGGAATAACACAGACGTAGAGGCGGGATTCTTCTCGACTTCATGTTTGAGTTTTTTGACATCCTTCCACGTACATGCGACCTGCCGTATAACAAACACCAAGAACTCGTTAGCTTCAAGAGGAATTCTTCCATTGTTGCTTGATTAAAAAATACGAATTGGAGGGGAGGGAGTGTGGTGGGATTTTGGCTCCACATGAGGAGGGGGTGTCGTGAATAAATTAGATGGGGGGGGGGGGGGGGAGAAATAGAACATTTTTCTAGGAGGAAGGGATAAAAAAACATTTCGTTGTTGGAAGTGTTGGAAGTACAAATATATCTTGCTATTAGCTTGAGTATGAGGATCTCTCGCTTTCCCAGGCCCTTCAAAGGACTGATACTATTTTGAGGACAGCCAGACAGACATCTTGTTAGTAGTCCTGTCTCTGTTAGTGTTGTCACACACCACTCGTGACACTGCGGCTGCCTAGGAGACTATTTTGTTAGAGGATAGGAACTGAGTTGGGTGGAGAGTGGAGAGGAGAAGTAAAACTCACCTTCATAAGCCAGCAAAAGTCTTGTAGAAACGTGGGTGGATAATTATCATCAACCTCGATGGTTGGAATATTATCATCTATCGTAACCAGCACACSGTCTTCACTAGTATACACTATAGCAGCCAAATAAACACCTCTAGAGACAGGAGACAATGTCACGTGATTAGTTACAGTCCATCTCGGTGGCGGGTAGATAAAGGGAACTGGGTCGAGAGGGACAATAAGGAGAAATGAGGAGAGAAAACATTGAAGCATAATATTGGATTACAAGATAGAAGTAGTCTTTAGAAACATGAAAAGAGTTTTTGGGTGGAGGGAGGGGGGAGAGGGTGGGGGATCTACAAACCTCTTCATGTTTTTGACAAATTTTGGGGTTGAATGGAAGAAGATATTGGTGTATTTGGACAGACTTTTCTTGACGGAATCCTTTTTGCTTGACTTCGGTGACATCCTACCTTCTGCAACTATAAAAAGGGGGACAATCAGAATATTTACTCAAGACATTTACGGTTTTCTGTTGTCACTTGGGTAGAACAGTATATCATTAGCACATGCGCAATGTGAGTTTGATGAGACTGCATTTATCTTTGGTCTCCACCGCCACACATGAGAGTACATGGATAAGAACTTTACCTTCAGCTTCGTTAATACTACGCGGTCTTTTGGAGTCGTTGCTATGGTGATGAGAGAACTGTTCGTGACTCTTCCAAACCCGACTGAAGAGATTATCGATGACCACAAGTCTGCCTTGGAAACGAGGCTTTGAATCATCAACCTCATGCCAACCTAGTGTCAACGAAGGGAGAATTTTTTAAGTTCAAAAAACGGACTACTATCATTAGTAGACTAGATATCTTACTTACTTGAAGGCATGGTCGCTGGGGGAGTGGATGGTAACCAGGGCCCAAACCCTTTAAGATTACCACAGGCAACCCGCACATAATACAAAATGGACTGAAATGAAACAATACCATTAAAAATATCAGTAACTGTTTATGTAATATATATCCGTATAACAGTAAAACAACACTATCTCCATCACTTCCCCCTCATCTCAGATCCTCCCATGGATTTGAAAAACATYGATCTCAGTCCCTCCCCATGACTATGACAAACCTAATACCAGCCCTTCCCCATGTGTATGACAAACTTTATAGGTGTCCCCGATTAGTGTTGCCACCTGTGGAACGCTAGAAGTTTAGACGCATTAATAACGTTATAGATTTTGATTTGATTGATCTCAGTCCCTCTCTTCGAGTGTTGCAAACTAATTTCCTTAATTTCCTTCCCTCTTCCTGCGTCAACCTGTGTCACACATTTATCCCTGACCTCCCCTCCCCCTCCCAAAAATGGACTTACCTTTTGTAAGTTAGGTATGGTATATTCCAAACATCGTACGTCATTTAGTACAAATTCTCCTTCTAACGGATTGAAAAGCTCATTCCGACTCCATTGAACTAGAAAAGGAGAAAGAAAGTCAATGTGTTAAGAGGACTACGGATTGAAAAGCTCATTCCGACTCCATTGAACTAGAGAAGGAGAAAGAAAGTCAATGTGAAAAAAGGTGTCTGGCCCGAAAAGTGCCAATTTGGGCAAAATAGAAGAAGAGTTAGCTCAGGGCCAACCTTCATTTTATATATAGTATTTTATGAAGTTCCAGCGAACGTCCGTGGGATTTTTAACGTTGTCCATTCTCACTTATGTCACTGACACTGAAATGAAGCTTACCCTGAGTAAATGAGTCTGTAATCAAGGAGGTCAGCGGCATTGTACGAATTTCTAATCACGTGTTTACTTACTTTTATATTTTGTCGACATGTAATTTTTTCCTACAGTTTCAGTGAAGCGAACCAGTAAAGAATCTTCTGATGCCACAGATAAAGTAACGCTAACCGGTGGACCAGGAGGGTCTGGTGACAAGGTAAACAGTCTTAAAAACAATTACTATTGGCAGCATGCATTCTATCTTGTGAGAAGAAAGGGAAAAGAGACATGGCAGCCATATTGGATGACATGAAAAATTAGAGTAAGACGAAATCTTCAGTTCAAGTCATACAACATGGTGGTTATGACGTCACACGGATAAGGACAAAAATATTAAATAGCAGTATTGCAACTAGATTTCTTGTTGGACATTATTCCCCTATCTAATACGGTCAAGAAAATTCGGTTTTTGCAGTGGAAATCGAGTCGCGAAAAAAATTGTCAAACTGCCTGGTGTAAAGTAAGCGCGCACTCATCGGAGAACATCTTTAATTTCTCCGGCTGTACATAAGCTGCGAGCTCCCAATAAAAAGTTTCATCGGATTGGAGCTCTGGCTACCTTAGAAGATAGATAGTTTTCTGCTATCGCGCAGGATGGCCACAATATTAGTTAACCTAAGACGCACCAAAACCAAACTTGATTTTAGGTTAACGTCATCCAACATGGTGGCTATGAAATCACACACACACACAAAGAAAAAAGTCATGGCCGCCATGATAGTTGATATTACATAGAAACCAACCAACATGGCGGCTACGACATCAAATGCAAAACACTCACTTGAATTATTTAGACCAATAAGCATTCTTCTTAAAATTAATCGTCTCCATTCCCACTCCTTAAGATGTCGCTCGGTTTCCTAGCGCCGAGAAGAAATGGAAATTAGTTCCCTTAGAGAATGCTACCAAATTGAATAAAATGTTAGTACCTTAGTCTCTGATGTACTGCCATTTGTTGCATGTACAACAGATATCGTGAGGTCCTCGACTTTGTGTTCGGCTTCGTTGATTAACATCTTCAGGTGCTTTTCGAAAAAACTACTTTGCACTGAAAATAAGCATAGAATTGCTTGGCATCAATTTGAAATTTTCTCACCAATTAACATATCAAGCTTTACTCTATGTTAGTGTCGAAGTTGGAGTAGAGAAAGCTCACTCTATATATGGTATGATCAATTGCATATTTGGTTTGTGAAGAAGAAAATAAAAGAAAAAACAGACAAGTAAAAAAAGAAAAATTTTGGAAAAGGAGGTTTTGGAGGAAAGAGAAGGAGAGGTTCTCGTCAAATGGGAAGAATACGTGGACGCCCCTTGACCTGGCTGCTAAGCATTCCCCAGTCCTTTTTCTTAAAGAAAGACACAAGGAAATACGACACTCAATGTTTGATATGTAATAAAAAATGACATAATATCCAAAAATTCTGCCCATACTCTCTACTTGAAAGGTCATTCAGTTACTCATAAAAAACACTTTAATTGGTCTAGGTCAATAAAATCAAACCAATCTGAAGAAACTTGTAGAACAAAAGAATCGTTTTCATTGGTCGAAGTATATTAAAAATCAACCAATCAGAAGACACTGATAGAACAAAAGAATCGTTTTCATTGGTCGAAGTATATTAAATCAAAGGCCCTTAGGCGAACTCGTGGATA